TTACAGCAAGGCATCTTGTTCCATCATATTATGGCTGAACATGGTGACCCATATTTGATTGTAAGTCGTTTGAAGTTTCAAGACCGAATGACATTGCAAAATTATGCGTCTGCCCTGAAACAAGTAGTTGAACGACATGATATTCTACGCACCGTTTTCATATGGGAAGGGTTGAGTGAACCGGCACAAGTTATCTTACGTCGAGTTCCATCGTTACTTACCGAAGTCACCTTGGATGCTACCGATGGGCCAGTACTAGAACAATTATGGAACCGCTTCAACCCACGTCATTACCGAATAGACTTAAAACAGGCGCCGCTGTTACATTTAATAGCCGCGCCAACTTCAAAAGGTGAATGGGTGGCGCTGCAACTGATGCACCATATAATTTATGACAATGTCACCACACAGAGAATGTATGCAGAAGTCAAGGTTATAACCGATGGACAAGGTGAACAATTACCAACACCCACACCTTTCCGCCACGTTGTGGCACAATCTCGTATGAGTGTTAGTCAATCTGTACATACTAAGTTCTTCGAAGAAATGCTTGGCGATATTGAAACACCAACATTTCCCTTTGGCCTAAGTGACGTCCATGGTGAGTGTGTCGATGTTGATATAGCGCATCTAAAGTTGCCACAAGAACTCAATGCTCAATTACGAGCGCATGCACGACATTTGCAGGTCAGTCTGGCTAGTTTATGTCATTTGGCCTGGGCACAAGTAGTTTCCTGTACCAGCGGAAGCGAAACGGTAGTTTTTGGCACTGCGCTACTCGGTCGTTTACAGTCTGGAGAAAGAAACGACAGCGCTATGGGTTTATTGATAAATACGCTACCTTTTAGGCTGGATATCGATGAGACAACGGTCACCACTGCTGTACAAAAGACTCATGCTCGTTTGAGTGCTTTACTAGCACATGAAGATGCATCGCTTGCATTGGCACAACGGTGTAGTTGTGTTCCAGTCGCTGTGCCACTTTTCAGCGCGTTATTGAACTGTCGACATAAACGACAGACCAACAAAGGTACATTCAATACATTTATTTCTGGTATGACAGTTCTCGCTGGTGAGGTGCGAACAAATTACCCACTCACTATGGTGGTGGACGACGATGACAATTCGTTGCATCTAACAGCCAGAGTGATGATGCCAATATCAGCGACACGAATTTGTGCCTATATGCAACAAACTCTTATTTCATTGGCCGATTCACTAACACTAACCCCACAGAAACCTGTAAGCACATTGACCGTGATACCACAAGAAGAGCGTGAAATGTTGTTACACAGCTGGAACCAAACGACAGTCAATTACACACCTGTTCGTTGTATTCACCAGTTATTTGAAGTGCAGGTGGAGAGTGATGGACAAGCAATTGCCGTAGAGTGTGATGGAAAAACTCTGACTTATGCAGAACTCAACATACAGTCTAATCGATTGGCGCATTATCTGATCGCTGAAGGTGTAAAACTAGAGGATCGGATCGCAATATGCGTTGAGCGTAGCACGAAATTGCTCGTAGCTATACTGGGTATTCTGAAAGCTGGCGGTGCTTATGTTCCACTTGACCCGGCCTACTCCAGTCAACGTCTGATCGATATTTTACTGGACGCCAAACCACTTCTTCTGTTGGCAGATTCTGCTGGTCGTGCAGCACTTGGAGACCATCAAGTTACTTTGATGGATTTGGACCAGCCTCTTTGCAATAATCTACCAATCGATAATCCG